ACGTAGGTAAGGAGGCAGCTGTGATAGCAGCCGCATGTAACTGTGGAGCATGCGCAAAGTGCGAGGCTTGGGGACGGAGATGAAGTGGTGACAGCGAAGGTTGCTACAGCGATCTCACAGAAGTCGATTTCGCATGTCCTCGCGTCGTCACATCATTGAAAACAAGCGTCCATCGGAGGAGACATGTAGCCCGTAGTAGAATTACCGAACATGCCATGCAGTTTGACTGCCGTGTCGCTGAGCTTCTCAGATTTCATCGCCGAGGCTCCAGCAGCACTGCCAATCTTACTGCTCGTCCTGGTTGCATGTGCCCCACCCTCCCAAGCTGCGACGAATACATCAGAGAGGATCCGGCATTGCGATCAACCACTGCGTGATAGGCCTGCTACCTTTGCTCGGCACGCGAATACATAGCTCGGGCCAGGCACCTGGACCACATCGTGCTACAAGACTGCTATATATGTATATATATATGTACATACATACATACAAACATATATATATATATATATATATATACATATATATATACGTGTACATATTTACATATACATAAAAACATAAACTGTTGGCGCTCCGCGCGGACTTCTTGGATCTGCGCTGGACCCCCCTCCCTGGCGCGTGGAACCCGTCAGGGGCGACGCCAGAGGCGCCGCCAGGAGGGTCCCAAGCGCGGATCCATGAAATCCGCGCGGAGAGCCAAAAGTTTATGTTTATGCAGTTGTTTCTTCTTCGATGCTACGAGCTGCTTCCTCATCGCCACCGAGACGTGTTGGTACTCCTCTCCTGGACCTCAACAACGGGGCCCAGAGACCCGACGTGGCCAGAAAGCTGCAACCTCATGGAAAACCACGACCAAAACCCTGGACCGCATCATTGTGAACGTTTATTGTTCGGCGTTTCGACATTGGGCGGAAAGAGGGGGGGGGGAGGGGGGGAGTCTGGCTCGGGACCTCTGCTTAGTGCGACTGTTTGGAACAGTGCTCCCATGGGGAATCCGATTAGGAGCCGTCCACCTGCTTGAAACCGGCGCCCAATACAGACAAGATCTAATCCATCGGGGGGGAGAAAGCGGTGCGAAATGCCCGCGCCGGTCGGCAAAACAATGAATAAGAAAACGATCAATTTCTGCGCCATGTTTCGAGCCGGATCGATCCGTGAGGGCCTCAAGGCCCGAAACCCGGCGAAAACGCCCAGTTCGAAATACTCCTGGCGAAGGGCCCGCCCATGTACAGGTGGAGCTCCCTATGGGGCGGCCACGAAACATGCGAGAGGAGTCCCAAAATGGGCGGGGAACCGCATGCGAACCCTTCCACTGCGGCCTTCGGTGGAGCTCCCTGTGTGTCAGGCATGTGCTGCCATGGGCGGAGAACTGCATGCAAGGACGACCACGGCGACCTGAAGTGGAGCTAGCTCAACATGGGGCGAAGAAGCGTGTGAGGGGTGTGCCGAAATTGGCGGGGAGCACCATGCGAGGACGGCCGCTGGGGCCTCAGGTGGGGATCCCTATGGGGCCACGAAGCGTGTGAGGGGTTTGCCGAAATGAGCGGGGAGCCCCATGTGAGGACGGCCACTGGGGCCTTAGGCGAAGCTCCCTATGGGGCCACGAACCGTGTGAGGGATCTGCCGAAAAGGACATGCGGAAGGCAGTGGCAGGAGCGGGAGGAGGGAGGAGCGGGAGGAGGAAGGAATGACGCGGGGCGCTCTCTTCAAAACGCAGACCCAGTGTGGGAAAAAATGATCCTCATAGGTACCGATGCCAAGAGGTACAGATACCGCTACTTCCCAGACATATCCCAGGGTGCCTTCTGACCAGACCTTCGAGGTGAATCCAGCGGTGGCGACGAGGGCCTACCAGAAGGCCCAAAAGGGGGAAAAGGAGGCAAGGGTAGCCAGAGGCCTCCCAGATGGGATCAGATTAGATGGCGTCGGAGGATCGCGCCGCATCGCCAATGCATCGAAGATGCATCGACGATGCGTCGGCGACGAGGGCGATGCATCGGCGACGTCGGCGCAGAGAAAGTTGGGCTCCACATCGAGCCGCATCGCCGATGCACTGGCGATGCGGCGCGATCCACCGACCCCATTGCTCGGACCCCATCTGGGAGGCCCAGAGGATGCAGCGAGGGCTTCTCTCAAGGCACGGTGCTCCTCGGCCACGAGTAGGTCCCCCGACCTAGACGCAGGGAAAGGCCCGAAAACCACCGGAGCCCCTCCCGAGCCAAGAGTGGTGCTTGCTTCAGCGCCATCGACTGTGGGGGTACCGGCGGCCACTTCAGCCCCGGCCGCTGGCAGCTCTGGCGCGCTCCTCCCGAAACGCTTTCGGCCGCGAGTGCCCTCCTCCTCCTCCTCCTCCTCCTCCTCCTCCTCCTCCTCCTCCTCCCCCCCCTGTCCTCTGCGGCCTGTCCCCGCCTACCGCGCACCCTCGCCTGCAGCCGGACACGTCGTTCGTCGCGTGTCCCCAGCCAGTCGAGCGCCCGTGCGGATTGCCTCTGCCGTGTTACGGGGCATCGGTGCTTTGTCCTCCGCGGGAGGCGCGGAGACGCGAGCGCTGCCACTGCGAGGCCCCCCCCCCCTGCGGCGAGAAGCGCAGACAGGGCAGGGCAGCCCCGATGGCGCCTGGGGTCCGCCCTCCTCCCCCCTCCTCCTCCCCCCTCCCTCCTCCCTCTCCTCCCTCCTCCCATCTCCGCGTCATCCTACTCTCCCCCTCCCTCCCTCCCTCGCGCCCCCCTCCATCCTCCTCCTCCTCCTCCCTCCCTCCCTCCCTTCCTCCCTCCTCCCTCCTCCCTCCTCCCTCCTCTTTTTCCCTCCTCCCTCCTCCCTCCTCCTCTCCATCCTCCCTCCCTCGATCCCCCTCCTTCTCGTCCTCCTCATCCCTTGTCGTCCTCCTCCTCCCTCCTCCCTCCTCCTCCTCCTCCTCCTCCTCCTCCTCCTCTCCTTCCTCCTCCTCCTCCTCCCTCATCCTCATCCTCATCATCCCTCCCTCCCTCCTCCCTCCCTCCTCCCTCCCTCCCTCCCTCCCTCTCCCCCCTCCCTCCCCCCTCCCCTCCCCTCCCTCCCCTCCCCTCCCTCCCGCCCTTCCCCCTCCTTCCTCCCCTCCCTCCCTCCCTCCCTCCCCCCCTTCCTCCTTCATTTGCTCCTTGGTGGAGAAGGACGACAGTCCTCGAGCTTCTTCACGATCTCGGCTGGGGTCCTGTCCAGCTCGCTCGCTATGCCGCGCTGTTTGTCGGAGGGCAAGTTCATGAACTGTTCGCACAAATCGCCTCGCGCCCCAGTCTGCCGGCTCCTCTCACGTACCCCTCCCTACTGATGACGGACTACGACTGCGAGCGGCCTAAGACCGGCGAACTGAGAGAAAGCGGTCGAAGAGCAGACTAAGAGCGGCTAAGAGCGGCCCAATAGCGGCCAAATGTGACTAAGAGCGGCCTAAGAGCGGGCTAGCAGCGGCCCAAGAGCGGCCTGCGCGGCCCATGGGCGGCCATTAACAGCCGCCAAATGTGAGATGGCTGCAGTATGCAGCCCATGAATGCAGCAAACGACGGCAACGCGCTTGGACCCTGCGCGCTGGCCCAAAATTCTTCCTGATGCCCCATACGCTGTGACGTCCAGGAGACACGAGTTGCACTTGCTTTGCGCATCGGGACGTCGCGTTGATAGGCTATTTGTTTCTCCTCGCTCTCCTCTCTGAAGGGAGCCCACCATGCGCGGCAAACAGAAGCCGACATTGCAGACGTGCCCCAGCCAATGTTTGCGTGGGCTCCTGTCCATGCAAACCCCGAAACGGCGAGCGAAAAAAAATGAATTTCACGTGGAATTGTTTTAGTCTTCATTCCCGGCCAAGAAATCCGCACGAAATTAATTTCGAAATCCGGAACGAAATTATCCAGGACACTCTGGGCCCATCCTTGTGTTCTCCGAACAAAATCCGCTCTGCGATGCTGGCACCATGAGAAGGAGGGAGAGAGAGAGAGAGGAGCAACAGAGAGAGAATGAGAGAGGAGAAAGAGCAAGAGATACAGCGATAATGAGAGGGAGGGAGATGTGTAACAGATTGCAGGGACGCTGGGTCGGTCTCAAGGGGAGGGCTCCCGCAGGGCTCTCTTCACCGAGCCGGGTGCCGAAAATCGGACCTACACGCCCCGGCCCCATGACCTCTCTCTCTCTCTCTCTTTCTCTCTCTCTCTCATGCTCTCACTCTCTCTCTCTCTCTTTCTCACTCTCACCCTCTCTCTCACTCTTATATATTAAAATAAATAATGAACAAAAAACGACGGGGGCGACAGACGGCACCAGGAAGCGCCGGAGAGGCCACGCCTTGAGGGGCAACGCTCCTCCTCCTCCTCCTCCTCCTCCTCCTTCTCCTCCTCCTCCTCCTCCTCCTCTTCCTCCTCCTTCTCCTCCTCCTCCTCCTCCTCAGGGGGAGGCCACCGGATCTGGGGCAGAAGCGTGGACCTGCAATCGGCCATACAACGCCGACAGATCGACCACCGACGGGCAAATCGCACACGTGTTGCTGGGCGGGGCGGGCTATCGGGCCCGCATGGGCCGTGAAGAAGCGCTTGGGGGTCCAAGCGCCCCCCCCCCCCCTGAGCCCATCCTGTGGTGGCTTTCGGGGCGATCCCAGCACCCCCCGAAAGCTCTCAGCAAGGCGCAGCCGCTGGAAGATATCCCGAGGCTGGAAAGCCGCCCCGAACACAGGGAAACGCCCGAAAAACTCTAACCTCCAACCCCCCTCTGAGCCTATCTTCTCGAGAGGCCTCGAAACGTCCGAAACCTGCAAGAGCTATCCCCCCGTGACGTTGCCCCTGGCGTCTGGGCGGAGACGAAGCATCCGCTCGAACGTGCGCCGTGCACGAGCCAGGACAAAACCACTGCCCACGGTTCAGAGCTCCCTCGAGGCAGACGACGACCACGATGACGACGACGACGACGACCACCACCACGACCACCACGACGACCACGACGACCACGACGACGACGACGAATACCTACCCGACAACCCCAACCAGACCCGAAGTGCCAAATTGCGGGTTGGGGGGGTGCGGCCTCCATCGGTGTTTCTGTCACTGATTCTGGACGCCCACTCCACTGGGAGTGGAGGGCAACTTGGGGCCTTCGGGGTGGGTCGGGGTGGTCTGGCGGGTAGTGATACTGCGACACCACGGGCCCGCAGAGCGCTCCCGCGGCGCCCAGCGCGGGCGCGCCCGTGAGGAGGGCCGTGGCGGGTGCAAGAGAAAAGAGGGTGCGGGGTGGGTGGGTACATTGTGCTTCCAGGACGGAGATTAGGGGGTCGAGGGAGGAGGAGGAGAAGGAGGAGGAGGAGGAGGCACGGGAACGCGGAGGAAGGAGGAGGAGGAGGAGGAGGGGAGGAGGACAAGCTATGTGCGCTCGCGTCATATCTGACGTCCTACCCCTCCCTCCTATCCCTTACCATGGCGCTGATTTTCTCTATCCGCGGACGCGTGTCGTAGCGGACCTGTGGCTCCGCGCGCGCGTGCGTAGTGGGTGGTGGTGCGCGTGCGTGCGTGCGTGTGTGCGTGGTTGTGGTGGGTGTGTGTGTGGTGGTGGTGGTGGTGTGGTGGTGGTGGTGGTGGTGGTGGTGGTGGTGGGTGGTGGTGGTGGGTGGGTGGTGGGTGGGTGGGTGGGTGGGTGGGTGGGTGGGTGGGTGGGGGGGGGGGGGGGGGGGGGGGGGGGGGGCGTGTGGTGTGTGGGTGTGTGTGGATGTGTGTGTGAATGTGTGGTGTGGGTGTGTGTGTGTGTGTGTGTGAATGTGTGTGTGTGCGCGCGTGTGCGCGTGTGCGCGTGTGCTGTGGTGTGACGTGGTGTGGCGTCTTGGTGGTTTGGTGGTGGGCCAGGTGCGTGCGTGCGTGATGGCGGTGGTGGTGGTGGCGGTGGTGGTGGTGTGTGTGTGTGCGTGTGTGCGTGCGTGTGTATGTGTGTGTGTGCGTGCGTGTGTGTCTGTGTGCGCGCGCGTGTGATGTGGTGTGACGCGGTGTAGCGTGGTGGTGGTGGGTGGGGTAGTGGGGTGGTGGTGGCGGTGCGCGTGCGTGCGTGCGTGCGTGCGTGCGTTGGTGGGTGGAAGTGGCGGTGGGCGGGGCGGGGCGCGGTGCGGTGGTGGCGGGCGGATGGGCGCGCGAGAAAGAGGCCCGCGCTGGGGCGAGAACGCCATCCTGAACGACGGAGGCAAAACACCGATCCGAAAATGAGACCCACGCTGCAGCGGGAGCACGATTCGGAACGAGCGGTGCCCGAAAATGAGGCTGGCGCCTCAGCGAGAGCGGCATTTTGGAAAAAAATGCAGGCGAAAACCCAACTCCGGGGAAACCTGTGTGTAAACAAAAAACGCGGGGGGGGGTCGGCTACTCCCATTCCGTCATCAGGGGAAGAGGGAGAGTAGTATTCATATTGAGCAATTGTGGAGGAGGAGGAGGAGGAGGAGGACGAGATTCAGGGAGGAGGAGGGGGGCAGGAGGGAGAGGAGGAGGAGGAGGAGGAGGAGGAGGAGGAGGAGGAGGAGAAACAGGAGGAGGAGGAGGAGGAGGAGGAGGAGGAACGAAGGAGCCTGTGTGGCCACGGCGAGTCTCGACCACGAAGAGGTTTTCCCAGACCTGGACCCCAGGTGCGGCTCGCAAGAAGCCGGAGCCCCTGCGTTAAGCCCAGGGCGGTCCTCGGCTGCATGCGGCCTGCACGGGGTCAGGCGGGCGCTGCACCCAGTGGGCATCTGCAGAAGTGCAGGAGCCTCGACCACGAAGAGGTTCCCCGACCTGGAGCCGAGGAGCGGCTCAGAAGAAGCCGGAGCCCCTCCTAAGCCCAAGGCGGTCCTGATTTCGGCGCCTTGGCTGCATGCGCCCTGCGCGTGGCCAGGCGGGCGCCGCGCCCGATGGGCATCTGCAGGCGGGTGCAGGAACGTGGCAGGCGCCGAGGCGAGGAGGGCCGCTCGGGTCGGCCAGAGACAGGTTTGGCGAAGCAAGGAGCGACGAACGAACGAACGAACGCCAGATCCGTGCGCACGCCGCGTGGGCGCCCGCACACGCCCGTTTGGGCGGGGCGGTGGAGGCCGTAGCCTCGAAGCAAGGGGTACACAGAAACAGTCTGCAGAAGCCTAAACGCAAAGAGCAGGAACGTGCGGGGGCAGGCAAGCGGCCTGCATGCTGCGCAGGGCCTGGGCAAGAGGGGACGGCAGGACCGTCAGCTTGTGATCAGCAAGAACAAATGAGGCGCGTGATTGCACTATCCCGGCGAAGGACCCAACCATGTGCAGTTGCAGTTGTGAGTACCGCTGTTGCTGATGTCGTTTTCGGCGACTCCCTATGGGGGAAACAAATTCGCCGGCCCAACGGGCCAGAGGCGTGCTAAGATCTCCGGTAACTGGTTAACAATTCTCTAGTTCGCGCGCGCGGGGCGGCCCCTGGGGGTCCCCGGACGAAAAGTACCCCGGGCGACTCCCGGCTGATCCCCGGGCGACTCCACCAGAGCGCCCCATGAGCGCACCAACAGGGCTCCGAGACGTCCCCGAGAGCCCCAAGAAAGGCCAAGAGGCCCCCAAGAGGCCCCCAAGATGGTACACGAGGGGTCCGACATGCCACAAGATCGCTCCAAGACGCCCAAGATAGCCCCCAGACGCCCCAAGAGGCCTCCAAGAGCACTCCCAAGAGGGCCCCCGGAGGCAAAATTCATTGTTTTTCCTTAGGTTTTTGAGAGATTTTGGAGCTTCCACCTTTTCGGCTTCCCGACGCCCCAAGACGGCCCAAGAGGCCCCCAAGATCGCCCCAAGAGGGCCCAAGAGGCCCCCAAGAGGGCCCCAAGATGGCCCAAGAGGGCTCGAAGACGGCCCAAGAAGCCTCCAAGACGGTCCAAGAGGGCCCCAAGAACGCCCCCAAAGGGGCCCCAGAGAGGGAACACGAAACAACATTTCGAGCCCTCGGCCCTAAGAAGCCCCTACGAGGCCCCAAGAGGCCCCTAAGAGGCCCCAAGAGGCCCCCACGAGGCCCTCAGGAGGCCCCCAAGAGTCCCCCAAGCGGCCCCAGGAGGCCCCCCAAATGCCCCCCCGAGCGCCCCAGGAGTCCCCCAAGCGGCCCCAGGAACCCCCAAAGCGCCGCATTGACACCAAGCCCTCGGGCAAACGGCAAACATGAGACTGTATAGGCCGGCGGAATGAGCGAAGCGATTAATAAGTAGTGTCCCTGAATGGGCGGTGGGACCGCATGCGAACCCTGCAATTGGGGCCGTCGGTGGAGCCCCCTCTATAGGGCCACGACACGTGGTAGGGGTGTGCCGAAATTGTGGTGGAACCGCATACGAATCCCGCCATTGGGGCCTTCGGCAGAGTTCCAGAAGGGGGCACGAAGCGCATGAGGGGTGTTCCGAAATTGGGAGTGGACCCGCATGCGAACCCTGCCACTGCAGTCTTCGATGGAGCTCCATTCGCAGGCACGAAGCGAATGAGGGGTGTCCCAAAATTGGGGGTGGAATCGCAGACGAATCCCGCCACTGGGGCATTCGGTGGAGTTCCGTATGGGGCCAGGAAACGTGTGAGGCGTGTGCCGACATGGGCAGGGAACCGCATGCGAACCCTGCCACTGCAATCTCCGGCGGAATTCCCATTGGAGGCACGAAACGAATGAGTAGAGTCCCGAAATGGGCGGTGGAACCGCAGGCGAACCCTGCACTTAGGGCCGTCGGTGGAGCCCCCTCCATAGGGCCACGACACGTGGTGGGGATGTGCCGAAGTTGTGGCCAAACCGCGTGCGAATCCTGCCACAGCAGTCTTCGGAGGAGCTCCCGATGGGCAACGAAACGTGTGAGTGGTGTGTCGACATGAGGAGAGAGGACAGAGATAGAATTGAAGTGAGGGGGAGGAGGACAAAGGAGCGGGAGAGGAGAGGAGAGAATAAAGAAAGGAAGACCAAACGAGGGAAGGTGAGGGAAGGATGCCCGCTGAGAGAGGAAGAGAGGGGAGGGAAGCACAGGGGGAGGGTAGAAGGGAGACGCAGGAAAAGAGGAAAGAGGAGAAAGCTCTAATTACGTGACCGCGCGGCCAGGGCAGGAGGGAGGTGGGAAAGGGTGACGAAACCGATCCCGTCGATACTGTTTGTGCCTCGGCCTAACCGAAGCAATGATTGAGCTGATGGGCCAATTGTCCACCACCACAGCCATAGGTAGGACGGATGAGAAGGGAGGATGGGCAAGTCCTCCTCCTCCTCCTCCTCGTTCCCCCTCTGCTACCTGTAGTAGTGGTGGTGGATCATCGGCCCATGATGAGCAGCCCTGTAACAATCCAAACCCTCGGCTAAGGGCAACACCTCGTAAATCAGAGCACGCGCTTCGGACCCGCGCGAAAAGCTTGATCCACGGCTGTGTCTACAGTTCCGCTAGAGTGCCGGTTTGACGCTAAACACCTGCGCACCTGAGCACGTCAAAATGTGATATAAAAAGACACGGCTCCGGGCGGCAAGCTTTAAGACACAAAGCGAAACGCCCGCATGTGTTCATTCCAGACGAGAAGATCCCACTGGGTTCGGAACATTTTGCTGATAGGCCGTGCCAGTACACGAAGCCATGCCCAAGAAACGAAAAACCGAAACGTGCGCGCGCACGCTCGTGCATACGGAACGGTTACTGCTGAAATTGATTCCACAGAAACGGTGCGCGCGCATCTTGGAATGCCACGGCATCGTCAACCTCCGACGAGACAGTATTATTGTTGGCTCCACTCGCGAGAATCGCATGGAAGATGATGAAGAAACCCTCCGCCGTCCACCTCCTCCCGCCACCGGCGGACGCCAGAGAAGGCCCAAGGTGTCCGCAGCTTTTCGCGCCGCTTCAGGACGCCCATCGCACCCGCCTCGCGAGGGGGGCTCCTCGGAGGCCACCTGGAGGTCATCAGGCCATCTGGGGCCACCCGACGCCCTTCCCTTGCACTGGCCCCCACCCCCCAGGCTGCCGTCTACACAGTTCTGCACCGGGAAGTGGTAGGACCTGTACATCAGGTGGTCGCGGCCTCCCGGGGCGCGTTTTCCCTGGAGCCCTCCTCGGCCCCACGGCCGCTCCTCTTCATCCCCCTCGGCCCCACTGGCCCCACCCCTCCGTCCGCGCCGAGGGGGCCACCGCTGCGGGGCAGCAGCGGCCGCAGCGGCGCGTGGGCGAGAGCAGCGGCGGCAGAGGCTACCAGTCGGCAATCGCAGGCGGGGTTGCGGTGGCCGCGGGGGAGTATGCCTTCGATATGTTGCTTAACTTGTCACTAGCTGCGCGATGTTTGCTCCGAGTCCTTCTATAGCTGAAGGAAAAGTGAAATGCGCTTGAAAAGAGTAACCCGAGCGAGAAAAAAATATCCCAGTGCGACCCTACCTAGGAGTTGGAGCCCCTAGGAAAGCAGCATCAGTAGTAACGGTACATCTAAACCAAAGTTAAGCTAAAGCTAAGATAAAGCTAAGCTAAAGCTAAGCTAAAGCTAAGCTAACACTAAGCTAAATCTAAGCTAAAACTAAACTATGCGATGCTATGCTATGCTATGCTATGCTATGCTGCGCTATGCTATGCTATGATTGGCTATGTCATGATATGTTGTGTTATGCTAATGCAGCGCTGCGCTATGCTAAGTTAAACTAAGTTAAGCTAAGCTAACCCTCTAAGCAGAGCCTAGGTAGGGAATTACACCCGTGCTATGATATGCGATGCTGCGCTATGCTATGCTACGCTATGCTATGTTATGTTGTGCTCTGTTATGCTAAAGCTCTGCGAAGCTAAGATGAAGGTAAGCTGAGCTAAGATAAAACTGAGGCAAGATGAAGCTAAGCTAAGGTAAGATGAAATAAGCTAAGCTAAGATGAGATAAACAACGCGAAGTTAAGGGAACGTCACTGGGGGAACCGCGGGGCGGATGCCGGGGGAACCGCCCGGGGCGCATTCCACTGCCCGGCCCGTTAAGCCTCAGAATAAGAACCCTTCTAGGCAGAGCCTAGGTAGGGAAAAACGAGACTGTGAATTGACAAATTGTTTAAGAACTAGTCCTCCGCCTCACCTCGAGAGCCGAGGCCTCCTCCGTGCCCGAGCTCGCGGCGTCTCGGCCCCATCCCGCCGTTGCTCCTCCCAGAGGCGGCCCCTGGGCCCCACATCGGCGAGGGCGCGCCACGGGTTGTCCCAGGAAGGGAGGGGGGGGGGGGGGACTGCCTCCCGGAGCGCCTCCCCCCCCTCCTCCCCCTTCCAGATCCATCGTCCCTCCCCCCGCCCCCTCCCCCCCATCTGGGGCGGGAAGCTGCGCCCCCGTCCCTCTCTGCGCCTGCGCCCCAGAACCGAAAGGGAGAGGGGGGATTGCAGCCTCCGCCCCCCCCCCTGCTCGGGCACCGTGTCCCTACCACCCTACCGCCCTAACCCTGACACCCCAGTGCAAACCCTCACACCGTAAACATGAGCACTGATCCTGAACCCTCACACCCTTCCACTATGACTCTGAAGTTCTAACCTCCCCAAGCCGAACCTTAACCCTATCACACTAGACCTGACACTGTTAACCCTAACCTAATAAGCACGAACCCTGACCCTGGCATCCTAACCCGTATCCGGGCATCATATCGCTAACACCCTGACCCTAGCACGTAAGTCATAACAACGCCACCCTAATATTAAGCAAGACATATGCACAATACTGTCATCATAACCCTTACCATATTCACTTAAGCCACGAATGCGCAAACGACCTAAACCTACCACCGTGAGAGTAACAATCAGCTTTGCAATACCATCTGGGACCTGTTCTGACGCATCTACTCATTCCCGGACCTTGTATGGCATCGAACGCAACTGCGTTGTCTTTGAACGCATCCACCCCGCGTGTCTATCAACGTAACGACGACCAATGTGACCATAAACGCTTGCGACTTAAAAAAACAAGTAGCCTGGCGACGGACCCAACCATACGCAGTTGAGAATGCCGCCATTGTGAGTATCTTTTTTGGTGGCGCTCCCCATGGGCCCACGAACCACATGAGGGGTGTGCCGAAATGCGTGGCGGGGTACGCAACACAAACGAAGGCGATAAGTCTGAATATGAAAGCTTGAGCGCGTGCGAGTCTGATCGCGAGTGAATTTGATTATGAATGAATATGCCTGCGATTGGTTTTATGTGCATGAATGCGTGCATGGATACGCCCAGTGAAAATGCATACGACTGTGAACAGTTTGGGTATGCCTGACTCTCGGTACTCGTGGCCCTGAGCGTAGCCTCTGCAGGGGGCTTCCCTGGGAACCCCGACGGCAGCGCCCGCGCGCTGCGACGCCCATGTCGGCGCGCCCCACACGAGGATCGCGCCCGTTTCCTCCCATCTTTTTTCCTTTTCCTTTGCCCGCGCACTCCAAAGTCCAACGCTGCGGGCGCGTCGCAAGGCGGAGGCTAGCGCAAAGCGGAGGCCTCGCGACGCGCGCAGGTCGCCCCGAAGGGGTCACAGTGACGCGATAGGACGTGATAGTGACGTCCTTCAGGACACAGACGCCCCGACGTAGCAAACGCCGATGGCGGCGACCATTCTTTTTGAACGAGAGCCCGTTTTTGAAAATTCGCGATAGTGACGCCCTTCCAAACACGGACGCCTGGGGCGTAGCAAACGCCGATGTCGACAACGATTCGCTTTGAACAGGAACCCGTTGTTGAAACATCTCGATTGGTGACGCCCTTCAACGCACAGGCGCCCGGGCGTAGCTAGCGCCGATGGCGACGACAATTCGCTTTTAACAGAACCTAGTTTTGGAAAATTCGCGATAGTGGCGCCTTTCAGGACACAGACGCCCGGGCGTAGCAAAAACGTCAATGGCGACGACGATTCGCTTTGAACGGGAGCCCGTTTTATAAATTTGCGATAGTGGCGCCCTTCAGAACACAGACGTCGGGACGTCCCAAACGCCGATAGCGACGACGGCTCGTCTTGAACAGGAACCCGTTTTTGACAATTTGCGATTGTGACGTCCTTCAGGACACAGACGCCCGGGCGTAGCACGCGCCGATGGCGACGACGATTCGCTTTGAACAGGAGACCTTTTTTGAAAATTCGCGATAGTGACGCCCTTCAAGACACAGACGCCCAAGCGTAGCAGATGCCGATGGCGACGACGAGTCGCTTTGAACAGGAAGCCGGTTTTGAAAATTCGCTATTGGTGACGCCCGTCACCATTCTTCGCTTTGAAAGATCACGATGGGGACGCCCTTCAAGACACAAGACGCCTGGGCGTCGCAAGCGCCGATGTCGACGACGAGTCGATGGCCCTGTCCTTCTACGCACACCAAAAACTCACAGCGAATGTCAATCCGCTATCACGCACTCCTTCCCACCGGCCAAAGTGAAACCTTCTTGTGGGGCCACGAACCGTGTGATGGGGTGTGCCGAAGTGGGTGGGAGGGGGGGGGGGGGGCGCATGTGGGCGGTGGCACTTGGGCCTTCGGTGGAGCTCCCTTTGGGGCCACGAAACGTGTGAGGGGTGTGCCGAAATGGGCGCGGTGCCGCCATGCGAACGCAGCCACTGGGGCCCTCGGTGGAGCTCCCTATCGGGCCACGAAACGTGTGAGGGGTGTGCCGAAATGGGTGCGGTGCCGCCATGCGAACGCAGCCACTGGGGCCCTCGGTGGAGCTCCCTATGGGGCCACGACGATGTGTGCATGGCCGGGTGCCGCCATGCGAACGCAGCCACTGGGGCCCTCGGTGGAGCTCCCTGTGGGGCCACGAAACGTGTGAGGGGTGTGCCGAAATGGGCGCGGTGCCGCCATGCGAACGCAGCCACTGGGGCCTCGGTGGAGCTCCCTATGGGGCCACGAAACGTGTGAGGGGTGTGCCGAAATGGTGCGGTGCCGCCATGCGAACGCAGCCACTGGGGCCCTCGGTGGAGCTCCCTATGGGGCCACGAAACGTGTGAGGGGTGTGCCGAAATGGGCGCGGTGCCGCCATGCGAACGCAGCCACTGGGGCCCTCGGTGGAGCTCCCTGTCGGGCCACGAAACGTGTGAGGGGTGTGCCGAAATGGGTGCGGTGCCGCCATTCGAACGCAGCCATTGGAGCCCTCGGTGGAGCTCCCTATGGGGCCACGAAGCGTGTGAGAGGTGTGCCGAAATAGGTGCGGTGCCGCCATGCGAACGAGCCACCGGGGCCCTCGGTGGAGCTCCCTGTGGGGCCACGAAGCGTGTGAGGGGTTTGCCGAAATGGGTGCGGTGCCGCCATGCGAACGCAGCCACTAGGGCCCTCGGTGGAGCTCCCTATGGGGCCACGAAACGTGTGAGGGGTGTGCCGAAATGGGCGCGGTGCCGCCATGCGAACGCAGCCACTGGGGCCCTCGGTGGAGCTCCCTATCGGGCCACGAAACGTGTGAGGGGTGTGCCGAAGCTGATGACGATGATTGTGACGATGACGGAGATGATGATGACGACAATGGTGACTGCGATGATGACGATGATGACGACGATGATGATGCTGATGGTGATGGTAGTGATGATGATGGGAACAGGGGACGGATGATGATGACGATGATGCTGACGATGATGCGGACGATGATGATGATGATGATGATGATGATGATGATGATGATGATGATGGTGATGACGATGGGAGGAGGGGGAGGAGGAGTGAGTGAGGGACGCGGGGCGCTGTCTCTTCAAAACGAGGACCCAACACCACAGGATGGTTGGGAAATAACGGTTTGTAGGTTCTGCCCTCCAAAACCGAACCTAACGGGCTAATGCCAGGCGATCCCACCCGAACCCCAACACCTTACCCCCAACCCTTACACCTGAACCATAACCACTAACCCGAACACTAACTTGTCAACGCTAAAGCTGACACCCTAACCCTAACACCCTAACCCTAGCAACCTAACACTAAGACAATGAAACCGATGCACCAAGCCGAACCCTAGCACCACAACGCTAACCCTGACACCTTCACACTACCATCAAGAACCAAACATCACCCTAACCCTAACCGTCTACCCTGACACGCGAACCACAATAACCGAATCCAAACCC